TATATAATATATAAACATAATAGTTTTTAAATTTTTAACTAATAATATATTTATTACTAAAATTGTTAAAAATATAAAATAATTAAAAGTTATTAAAAAATAATATAAAAATTATAATCGATTTGTAAAAAAAAACAAAATATGAAATATTTGATAATCCTTTAATTGTGTTTAACAAAGTATACAAATATAAAAAAAAATTTCAATGGAATTAAAATTATATTTATTATGTACACAATATATAAGATATTCTAAATTAATGTAGTAGAAATCCAGATTGTCGACTTACAGTAACCAGCGTAGACACAGCGTGCACTTGATTGGAATTTCTCAGTATAGCTGATGCAAGTTGCGACACACTGAGACCTATTGCCCATGAGGTATAGCCCTTTAATTTAATAACTTCATACGCACTTTGTATCACTTGCTTATGTAATTCATTCCAATGTTCCTCATCTTTGTCGGTACCTACATACTCATTCAAATCACGTAGACGTACTCCGGCAACATTAACTCCAGACCATACAGGCACTGAACAAATAAAACAAATGTCTCATATAATACACTAAAATTTATTTATTATTTTTAATTAATATATACATATGCACTTATTTGTTTATAAAAATATTAAATTTTTAATTAAAGAAAAGCTACAGGAAGCAATAAAAAATTTTTTGAAATTTTTTGATTTAGCTATTAAAAATATAATAAATAATCATATTTTCGATAGATACATCAAACGAATCCAGCTAAGTTTATTTTATACATCTGATAGGAAAATTTTTCTATTTTAAAGAAGTATTTACATACCACTGGTATCACCATGTTCTCCGATAATCCAGCCATGGCAAGACGTAGGTGCGACATTAAGTTTTTGCGATAACAAAAAGCGAAAGCGGGCAGAATCTAAATTTGTACCACTGCCAATAACTTTGTTCTTTGGCAAACCGGAAAGTTTCCATGCTACATAAGTTAAAATGTCCACCGGATTGGAAACAATGAGGAGAATTGTGTTTGGGCTATATTTGACTAACTGAGATATAATGCCCTTGAAAATATCAGTATTACGTTGAACCAAATCCAATCTGGTTTCATTTTCGCGCTGACGCGCACCCGCTGTCACAATGCAGAGACTCGAATTCGCGGACACGGCATAATCTGTGCTGGCACTCACTTTTGCATTCTTCATAAATGTACTGCCATGTTGCAAGTCTAACATTTCTCCTTTTAATTTGTCCGCCATTACATCAATTAATACCACTTCGCTCGAAACATGCTGCAACAATAATTTAACAAGTGATATGAATTTTGCATATATTATGTGTCACTACAATTACATACATATAACATATTAAATATATAATTATTTGAGATGTACGATTTTATGTTATTATTTGTGAAAAAATAAGAATCATATTTTAATAGCAAAATTAACATATATAAAATACTGTTCTACATTTATAATTACATAATATTAATATAATTAACTTACGTTTGTCAAAATGCTAAAAGCACAAGCCATTCCAACTTGACCGACACCGACCACTGTGATTTTATTTCTACCGGTTGATACCGATTCTGTTACAGTAGTTAAAAGTTGATCCTTTAACATTGCCATTTTCTGCAAAATCAGAATAATTTAATGCATTAATATCAATAATTTCATAATTTAAATTTTAATATATATAGGTATATCGTTACATTAATTTTCATGCTTTTGAATTTATTAGTTAGTAATAAAAAAAATTAAATTTGGAATAATTGATAAAAATAGACAAAAACAATAAGTCACTGTATCATTGCGGAGATTGAAAAAATCATATGTATATCATTAAAAACATGCTTATGAAATCTGACTGTTCTGTTTGCCACTATTCAACAAAATTCTTTTCTAATAAAAGTAATTCTTTTTTTACTGTCGTTACAAGTTGAATACAAGTTGAATATTGTTAATAATATCAAGTCCATATTTTTTTACAACAAATTATTGCGGCAAATATCATTTCAAGAGACGCGGTATTATGCAGTTTCTATACCTGTAGCATGCACTTGCAACGAATGCGAATGATGCATACAGTTGTTAGATGGCAGTACCTGTCCATAATCAGGACTTCGTACACTCATCTTTCAACTAGGTGCAAACGTGCGAACTATGATCCGGAAAAACTTTGGAATTTAACTACACATTTGCGGGATTCGCAGTCAGATCATTAATCACAGTTCGTTAATAACGCTTAACCAACCAGATACAATCGACGAAAGACTCATACAACGCATTTAGTATTATTGACTTACTACACTTTATACGAGAAATCAAAAAACAATAAATTGCAATATACCGGTAACGGTACTCGGTGTAATGTGTACAGGTTTTATCATGTGTATGTTTTATCGCAAGCAATGACTGATAACGTGCAGCTTTAAGCGCTGGAAATACAACAAGAAACTTCAATTCCGTGTTAAAAATATTTCTAAATATTAACAAAATAACAATAATTCTAAATGATTAAATCTGAAAAATGTATTCAAATAATTTTCCGCTCTAGCGGAATCTTAAAATTCTAGCAATTTTAAAATTATTCAGATGTTATAAATAATGAGGATAGATGAAAAATTATCTATCAAATATATTGTTATTCGTTACTTTTTTTATACATTGTGAGACTTTATAATTAAAATAAAAATAATTTTAAGTGATATAATTGAAGAGAGTTGTCGCTGACCTTAAGTATTCTCCCTATACACTACTCTTCAACACTGTCGAACGCAGACTGAATGCGTTACAGCTGGCACACTGCTATTCTTCTACTGGACTGGCAGTTCAGGGATGTGAATTCGCCAAGGTGACCTTGCCCCACCTTACACAATTTCTACGAACGACGAGATATATGAAGTGTCCATAATTGTTTGAACAGAATAGTCCCCAAAATCTTGAAATCGACAAAATGACAATTTATAAAAATTTTTTTTTAATTCTAACAAAGTATATCACGTGGACTTTGATTTAAATGTTGTAGGTATTAAATACAGAATACTTCGAACTGCTTCGTGGTTTCGAAGAAAGAACGTGACATCGCGCACGCGTAACATGATGCAATGTACGCACGTGACGGCTATGTTCATCATCGATCCAGCTTGATGAGACTTTCTTCTCTTGAATCTTTCAACTTCTACCAATCATAAGACACCAGGGGATATCGAGAGTGGGGTAAAAGTATTTCTGGAAGCAATACTCGTCGTGCTTGCTGCGTTTTATAACATGGGACTTTTTATGGCGATAAGTAAAGTTAAATTTATCATGACATCTTTGAAGAAATAAAGTACGCATAAAGAAGTCTTTCTTTAAAATTCTAATAAAAAAATAAATAGTTGCAAAAATTCAAAAACTTAAAAAATTAAAAATTACAACGTTTAAAATTTAAAAACTTTAAAAACTAACAAACTTTAAAAATTAAAAACTTTAAAAACTTTATAATTTAATTCTAGAATAATGATTGCAAAAAATGAGAATGAACTTCAGTAGATATTTAACATTGAAAAACTAAAATAATACAAGAAACGATTATATTTTATTCTGTTTCTGTTAAAGAGAAATTGATTCAAAATGCATTGTAAGTATTGGACTTTAAAAATAAAATTTGATAATGATCTGTATATAATGTTATCAATAACATGATTAATGAAAAGATTAGTAACAGTATT